CTCGGGGCGGCCGCGCGGTCGGGGGGGGGGAGCCCCGGCGCCGTGAGGCTCTTTGGGGATGGACAGACCCCCTCTGGCCATCGCTCGGACGTCCATTCCATGTGTTTTTTGTCGGTGTCGTGCGTGGTTTTTGGCCAAATGATCAAGGATGCTCCTCGATGGTCCTCGCCGAAGGAAAAATTCACACGTCCGAACGATGCCAAGCCCTTTAGTAAAACGCGGTCTCGTGAAAAGACGGCCTGAGGCCCAAACCTGGCGGGCGCAGGCCTGGAAAATGACGACCACGGCGCCCTCTCGAGGACCGAAAACGGACAATTCACTGATCGACGTGACACTGTTGGGGGTTCTGTCCACCCCCGAATTCTAGAAACCTCCTTGATGGGGCCGGAGCAGATGTGGTCGGAGGATCGCGCCGCATCGCCGATGCATCGGCGATGCATCGGCGACGCATCGGCGATGCTCTGGCAATGCATCGGCGATGCTCTGGCGACGCATCCGCGGCGTCGGCGTGGGGGAAATCGGGCTCCACATCGAGCCGCCTCGCTGATGCATCGGCGATGCGGCGCGATCCTCCGACCCCATCTACTCGGACCCCATCTGAGAGGCCTAGGAGGAGGAGGAGGAGGAGGAGGAGGAGGAGCAGGAGGAGTAGGATGGGGGAGGAGGAGGAGGAGGAGGAGGAGGAGGAGGAGGAGGAGGAGGAGGAGGAGGAGGAGGAGAGGAGGAGGAGGAGGAGGAGGAGGAGGAGGAGGAGGAGGAGAAGGAGGAGGAGGAGGAGGAGGAGGAGGAGGAGGATGAGGTTCGAGGGCTGCTTCCCGCCCGCCAGGCCGGAGCGAGGAGCTCCTGGCCTGCATCGCGCACCCTGCACGCCGCGGCCGCCAGGCCCCCCGAGGGTCCCGGTGCCCCGTGGGTGTTCTCACGCCTCGCGCCTCCGGCGGATGACGACTGCACGCCGCGGCCGCCAGGGCCCAAGTCGGGAGCGGCCAAGAGGGGGGTGTCCAAGAGGGGGGGTGCAAATCATGACCGGCGGCATGTGCGCGGCCCAGCGGGGGGGCCAGTAACGTAATGAAACAAGAAGAGGCGCCATGAAATCTGGGGAAATATCATGGCCCACGCCATGATATCCACCCCTCCGCAGTCATCACCCCCCTCTTTTCCGCCGCCGACCAAGGGTCCTGGTGCTCCTCCTGTCATTCTTTCTCGGGCACCGGGAAGTGTCCGTTTCAGCTGTCAGCCGCGTGGGCCAGCTGAGATATTGGAAGGCAGAGTCTTCGTACCTTCGAGCGATGCTCGATGCTCGAGGGTTTCTGTTGCTGGTCGCCCTCATTAGAGGCCTCCCCAGTGGGGTCGGAGCAGATGGGGTCGGAGGATCGCGCCGCATCGCCGATACATCGCCGATACATCGGCGATGCATCGGCGATGCATCGGCGCCGTCTGCGTACAGAAAACCTGGCTTCGCATCGAGCCGCAATGCATCGGCGATGCGGCGCGATCCTTCGAACCCATCTACTCCGACACCATCTGGGAGGCCTAGATTGTTGGGCGCCCTCATGCGGCCTCCAAGCTTCTCGTCGCCCTGGCCGGTCTCCCCTCGGGGTTCTGGCCAGAACGCACGCCGGAGCGCAAGGCCTCCGAAACATCGCGGCGCCGGAGGCCTTGGCCCCGCTCCGGGGCCAGGGCTAACCTCAGCAGAGTCGTCGGCGCGCTCGAATGGGCAGGGGGAGGGGGGAAGGCCTTTTGGAAGGAGGCGGCCTCTTAGAAGGCACGGGCCGTGCATCTGTAGACAAGGCCAGCGCCTGCTAAGGAGCAGGGGGGCCTCTCCCCCATGACCCCCCCCCTCCTCTGCGCGCGGCCGGCAAAGAGAAAAATCGAGGAGGATCGGGGATCGAGGTTCTGGGGCAGGGTTATCCGCAGCCTCAAGGCAAGGTGCGCTGCATTCTGGGCCCCCAGAGGCCTCGCAACGATCCACCATGGCCGCCCAAGGACCGTCCAAGCAGGTCGTGGGGAAGGGCTCCGCGCTGCGACGGATCACGACGTTGGTGGGCTGGGTTCGCCAGAAGAGAATCGAGGAGTATCGCGAATGCCTTTGACCTGATGTGTATTTCGGTTGGGGAGGGGCTCCTGGTCCCCGCGGCTGGATGCACCTCAAAATCTGGTCGGAACGCACCTCTGGACGGCTTTAGGGGGCGACTTGTAACGGTGGACCTCATCCTCGCTCCCGCAGAGAGAATCAAAGCTTTTGGGTGTTCATGGTTTCGGGCCTTCAGAAGTCTCACACGGAAGGCGTACTGTCAAGGGGCACGACCCCGAGTGCGGAAACGACCAGGACACCCAACCTCGCGTACGCCCAGCGGTGCGCGACCATCTGGAGGAGGACTGCCCGCAAGCCTGCGCCTGGACGTGCGAAAACGCCATTTAACTTCGCGCTCCGACGGCCGACTTGAAGGCGAACCCCGTCTTGGGGGATCGGCACGCTGCGGCAGGACCGGGCATCCTACGCACTACCGACAAGGGGCCCACTGGTTTTGCGACGGTGCCCTGAGGCCACCAAGTGCAGGGTGATCCGGCCGACTGCAAACCATCGTCTTCGACACTTCTTGGCCGCACTCCTCCTCTCACCAGCGAGCAACACATCGCATTAATGGCACAAGAATAAGGACAGGGCACACAGAACACACCGAGGCTCAACCCATTTTAGTTGTGAGCACAGACGTGGGCTCGACAAACGTGTGGACATGCAGTAAGCGCCGACGCCTGCGATGTCACCAGCGAGATAATCATCAGATGATCTCGCTGCGGTGGCCAACCCTGGAGCAATGCGGGCACGCGGTGCGAAGCGTTTGGGGCTCAGCTCTACTGTCAAAGGAATGAACGAGAAAGGAGGAGGCAGGAGGGACGAAGGATAATAGTGCCTCCGCCTCCGCCTCCTCCTCCTCCTCCTCCTCCTCGTCCTTCTCCTCCTCCTCGTCCTCCTCCTCCTCCTCCTCCTCCTCCTCCTCTGTCTCTGCCTCTTTCTCTTCCTTATCCTCTTCCTCTTCCTCCGCCACCGCCTCCGCCTCCGCCTGCGCCTCCTCCTCCTCCTCCTCCTCCTCGTCGTCGTCGTCCTCCTCTTCGTCCTCCTCGTCCTCCTCCTCCTCCTCCTCCTCCTCCTCCTCCTCCTCCTCCTCCTCAAATCATTTTCCTGAGAAGTCCACCACCGTGCCGGTGGGTATGGAGACGGCATGTCCTCGGGTCATGGGCCCAATTCTCGAAGCCTCAAACCTCACTCCTGAGGAGTACTGAAGGGACCCAGAGCCCACATCGCCAAATCTCTCGGGGCTTCCCGCTACCCGTCGCGGCGGGGCGCGTGACTCTTTCGGGTCTAAGAGGACTCCAAGACAGACCCAGAGAGCCCCAAGACGCCCACAAGACGGTCCAAGAGGGCACCGAGTCGCCGAACGATCGCTCCAGGACGCCCAAGATGGCCCCAAGATTGCCCAAGAAGCTTCACAGACGCCCCAAGAAGCCCCCAAGCCCTAAGAGGCCAAAATCCGCCGGCCCCCTTGTGGGGCCACCAGGCTGTAGGACCGTGATTCGCAGTTTCCTGTACCAGTTGTAGTTTCTAGTTTCCAGTGTTACAGTTCTGCTTCTTGCTGGTTACTGTAACTAGTTGACTTCTTGCTGATTACTGTAACTAGTTGATTGACCGCGCGAGGGGGGGGAGGCCCAAACAAGACTTTTAGCGTCTCCTGGGCGCGTTGTCTGAATTGCTGGGGGGGCTCGAAATCGACACCCCTCACGCAGATCCGCGGGGTCAGGGTCCAAAAACACAGGGATTTGCCACATTTCTGAAATTCGGTGCCACCCCTCACGCAGATCCGCGGGGTCAGGGTCCAAAAACACATGGGATTTGCCACATTTCTGAAATTCGGTGCCACCCCTCACGCAGATCCGCGGGGTCAGGGTCCAAAAACACATGGGATTTGCCACATTTCTGAAATTCGGTGCCACCCCTCACGCAGATCCGCGGGGTCAGGGTCCAAAAACACATGGGATTTGCCACATTTCTGAAATTCGGTGCCACCCCTCACGCAGATCCGCGGGGTCAGGGTCCAAAACACAGGGGATTTGCCAATTTCTGAAATTCGGCGCCACCCCTTACGCAGATCCGCGGGGTCAGGGTCCAAAAACACAGGGGATTTGCCACATTTCTGAAATTCGAACCCATCACGCACATCCATCGCAAGGCGTGGTAACCCAAACTGCGAGAACTCCCTCGGCCCTTTCATCGCAAGGTGTGGTAACCAAGCCCTTAAACCATACACGTCTTACCAATCGCCAGGTGTGGTAACCCCTCTTGTGATCAGTTGGTTTTGCTGATTGCGACTCGGCTTCGCATGAAGTTTCGATACTGCTTCACGACAGCGCCAAGGCCTCATGACTTAGCTCTTCCATGGCCCATTCTCCGAGAGAGGGGGCCGGCGGCAGGGGGCGAAGCCCTTATGGATCATTGATTCTCCGACGGTTCTTGACAGATTCTGGCGTTCTCGCCTTTTCCCTGACGGCACTAGGCCCCCAAGACCGTTCCAAGACGGCCCAAGAGGCTCTCAGAGGGCCGGCCCGAGAGGGCCCCAAGACAGCCCAACGAGCGCCCAAGACGGGCCAAGAGGGCCCAAAGACGGCACCTAAAAAGGGCCCAGAAGAGGGAACACGAACCGAGACGAGCCCTCCGCCCCAAGAAGCTCTCAGGAGGCCCCAAGAGGCGCCCAGGAGGCGCCCAGGAGGCCCCCAAGAGCCAAGAGGCCCCCAATAGGCTCCAAAAATGCACCGGGAGGCCCCGAAACAAGCCCCCGAGAGGCGTCCAAACTGCCTCCAAAGGCTCCCGAGAAGCCTCCCACGAGATCCCTACGGACATCCCGTAGGCTTCATACCCTCAACCCAGGCACGGTGGCGGGATTGGCCGAAGACCATTAAATCCGCCGCCCCCTGTTGGCTTACCACAGGGGTGCTCGGCTACCGTT